CGGAGTAGAACACCTATATCAAACTACTGCCTCGCAAGGCTTAGGGATCATTGTGGAAGAGGGTGTGGAAAGATTGTAAGAGCCAGAGATAGTGGATGACCACAAAGAAGTAAGAGTTTCCCAAACAGCTTGTTAGTTACTCATATGAACTCAGAGCAGGAGTGACAGCATGCCCAAATCCCATGCAACCTCAGACCAGACAAAATCCCAGCATAGACATGGGGAAATGGGTAAGAAACTCTAACCCAGCCTAAGGAACTTTTGACAACATGACTTCTGCAAGGGGTTGAGACAGTTTCAAGAATGAGACTCTTGGTAACTTAACTAGGCTTCAGTGGATGCACCCACAGTGAAGGACATTTGGAGACACAAATTAGACTGCAGGTACGCACGTGTGTGTGTGTGTGTGTGTGTGTGTGTGTGTGTGTGTGTGTACAAAATAGAGTAAATTGGGTGGGGGCAGTGAGGGGAGGTGTCAATATGGGAGGGAATCTAAATACCATCAAATTCTATGAAAATCACAATTCTATTTAAAAATTTTCAAAATACTTCTTTAAATTTAAGGCATTCCATGACCACTGATAAAGTGTTATACCAAAAACATGAAAATTAAGGGCTAAGTATCTTACTATATACTTAAACTATTGTGTTAAATTGAAAAAAAGTTTGAAATCAGAATGGAAAAGTAATTTTATACATGAGCAGGTCTTGTTTGCCTTGTGGAAGAAGTCTCTGTGGTTTCAGTGATCTTCCAGGTTTTCTCAGATGACTCAACTAACCTGAGTTCTTCAGCCTAAGGCCAGCAGATTCACAGAGTAGGCTCCTGATCAGGCCATTCCAGACTGCAAGCCAGAGTCCATGGATGGCAAATCATGCTTGCTTGGTTTAAATATTTCTAGATGCTCTTTATGACCCTGTGGTGAATATTTAAAACTCTTGGTTGTAGTATTGGTGATTTTAAAAGTGGAACTAAAATAGCCATTATAGAATAACTGTTTTATGACTATAAAGTGCTTGTTTTTTAAAAGCTGTGGACTGGTGCTAAAGTACATGTGCATGCTGTTTTAAGACTTCTTGACAGCAGGAGTTAATTCAGTAATTAATTCAGTGGTAGAAATTGCTGTTCTAGAAGTATCTTTAATGTACATTTTCTTCACATATGAATAATTACCATTGTATACCTTATATATTCCAAGTATACATTAGGAAAATTATTTTTTAAAGATCAGATTCAACTTACTGCCTCTACACTGATTCAGTCAAATTACTACTGTAGCAGTACAATTATTATATGACTTTAATTTGAGAAGTGAAAGTCGTATAGCAGAGTTCTAAGCACTTTAACATCCTTATGCCTGATTGTGTGTGTCCCAGAGTGCTTTTTATATGACCTGTATCCAAGACTCTTATCTTTTTATGTTCAATAGCATTTCTTGATGGGTAAACCATTCAGCTCTCACAAAGGATAGCAGGGGTCTACATAGCAGTATGTCACTTGGAACTTTAGGCACATAGCAGAAATCTCACTGAATTACACTGCTATTTCATTTGATTTTGTTTATGCCAGTAGGGGAAAGAAAAAAAGAAGAAGAAAAAAAGTGGTTATTTAAGAAGTTTTTTTTTTTTATGACTTTTTTAACTAATACAAATTGTGATGCCAGGCATAGTGGGCACACACCTTTGATCCCAGCCCTTGGGAAGCAGGTGTCACTTCTGTGAGATCAAGGCCAGCCTGGTCTACATAGTGACTTCCAGGTGGGCTATGACTAGGAGACCTTATCAAAATAAAATAAAATAACAAAAACTCAAAGGAAAAGGGGGACAAAAGTGCAAATTGTGAATGAATTCCTATCTAAAATAGAATTACTGTTACTTCCTTACTCTATTTTGTGGACCAAATGCAGTTGACTTTTCCTATGCTACCCTCCAATGTAGTATTGTTTATCTTCCTAAAATTGAAATTTGCACATGATTAATATAACCAAAACAGGTTTGGGGCACTGAGACTCATACGTCTCATGCTCTTAGGAGGACCCAGTTTAAGCATTTCTTTTCTGCAACCTGAGCATCTGGTATTTTCAAATTAGGCACCTTCTAAATTTGACTCATACATTATGGAAATCTGATGGCACAAGGGGTGGATAGGCTTGCTTTGATTTTATGAAATATTAATCATAGCTGTGATTAATGATTCAGCATTTCACATCTGGGTTATTTCTGTCATATTTAAAATTACACCATTAAATACAGTATATAAACTTAGTATAGGTGGGGTCATTCTAATTCTCTAGTGTCCCTTAAAAATTAAGTGGAAATGTAACAATATACCAGATGCTACTAGTGATAATCTGTGATGTTGACAGGTCCTGGCATATTTTATACCCTCAAGGATTTTTCTATGTAAATTGGAAGACATCTCTTCAGGGACTTGAAGCTATGGAATTTACTTTCTGAAGAACTGCTGTTTTTAACTAACCAGCACAGAATCTCAAGAGTGGTTTCCTACATCACCCAAAGAATACATGGAAATGATGCACCAATAAAATTGCTTCACTAACTTGACTAGAAAGCATTCCTGATCACTGCTATAGGCCAGGCTCCATGCTAAGTGCTTTGTATACACTTTCTTTTTGGAAAACATGTGCATCTGGCAGTGTGGCTCAGGGGCAGAGACATGACTAAGTAAGCATGCTTGAGGTCCTGGGTTCAGTTCCCAGAGCCTTCCTCCCCAAGAAGAAGAAAGTACGTGATGGCGTTAACTGAGCATTATGTTAAGTTGCTAAGTTGCAACTAATTGTAGACATTGACCTTAAATGAATGGAACTCATTAGGCTTGCAGTTGGTTCCTACTTTTTATATTTTATGTAAATCCTGCATAACTTACTGTGGATAGAACAAGACTAGGAGGAAATGGTATAGTGAAAGAGTAGTCTTAGAAAAGTACAGACATGCCATATGTGGTGGCACATGCCTCTAATCCCAGCATTCAGTAGGCAGAGGCAGGAGGATCTCTGAGATGGAGGCCAGCCTGATTTACATAGTGAGCTCCAGGTGGGCTGGGGCTACAGGAGACCCTGTCGAAAGAAAGGAAGGAAGGAAGGAGAGTGAGGGAGGGAGAGAAAGAGAGAGAGGGAGGAAAGGAGGGAAAGTGTATAAACTTAAAGTAAAAATTAGGCTGATAGGATAGCTCAGTAGGTGAATGCACTTGCTATACAAGCCTGGTGACCTGAGTTCAAGCCTCAGAACACACATGGGGGTAGAAGGGAGAACTGACTCTACAGTTGTCTCCTGGCTCCCATACATGTGCCCCAGAAACACATCATACACTTGCCCATACACAATAATAAATGGAATTTTAAGTTTTTTAAGTGAAAATTGCTTGAAAGGCATTGGAAAATGATGGTAATTTATCAGCCTCAGCTTTGACTTGAAACTTAACAATGATGAAGGTCAGCTGCTGCTATTATAGTTTCCTTGGTTACCCTCAAAAATTTAAGAAACCCTTCAAAACATAGGAGGGTGTGTTCTTTTTTAAATTTTATGTATATGAGTGTTTTGTCTGCATGTAAGTGCACCCATGTCAGAGGCCAGAAGGCCATGTCAGAGGCCAGAAGAGGGTGTTGGATTCCCTGGAACTGGAGTTACGGATGGTTTTTAGCCACCATGTGAATGCTGGGAATGGAACCTGGGTCCTCTGCAAGAGCAACCAGTGTTCTTAACCACTGAGCCATCTCTCCAGTCCAGAAGGTGTGTTCTTTACCATTGTTAGAGTTCTCATAAAGTCATATACTCTTAGCTACATTTGAAAGCCACATCTCTGACCATTTCACTCTTCCAGTCTCATACCAAGGAAGAATGCTTGCTGCCTTGCATTCTTTTACTGGACCGAAGTATAGCATCAGTTCAGGCAGTACCACTTGCAAGGTGGACATGTTGTTACCCTTTGTCTGCCCACCTGCCACAAGTAAGGAAGATTCCTTTTGTGAAAGGCTTTGCCTGCTGAGAGTGTTTGGGAATTGCTTTTAGAGGCATAGAAGAAATCTTGATGTGCTCCCTACTTTCAAATTTGTGAGATGCCAATTAACTTAGTGACAGGACAGTTACTTAGCATGCATGCATGAAGATGTGAGTTTAGTCTCTAGCACCATGTCCGCACATACAGAAACACACACAAATTAACTAAAAATACTCTTACATAGTCAGCAGAGGGCTTTCCAATTCTTAGGAGACACACTGTAAAATTGAATATTCTGTAATTGACCTATAGATGCCATAGATTTACTGCCAAGTTAAAAAGGCATATTGCTACATGTTTTAGTTTGTTTCTCCATTGCTCTGATGAAACACCAATACCAACTTGGGGAGGAGAGGGTTTATTTAGCTTACATCTCCCAGGTCACAGTTCATCACTGAGGTAGGTAGGAACTCAGGGCAGGAGCTAAAGCACAGGCCATGGAGGAACACTGCTTATTGCCTTACTCCCCTGGACCATGCTCAGCCTGCTTTCTTATACAATACAGAACAACCTACCCAGTGGGCTTGGCCCTCTCACATCACTCAAAAATCTAGAGAACACCTCACAGACATGGCCACAGGCCAGTCCAATGGAGTCAGTACCCCAGTTGAGGCTCCCTCTACCCAGGTGTGTCAAGTTGACAACTAAAGCTATCCAGCACACTACGTAAGTTAGGATTTTTCTTGATTTATGAAGATTTTTGTTGCTGTTTTAACCATACTCACAGGTGTGGAGTTACAGAATTTTTTATAGTTATTTTTAAATCAGCTGAAGTGTTCTGTGATATATAATGAATTCTTGTTGAAATTACCATCCTTTAGTTTGGATGAGAAATGGTTTTGTTAAAAATATTTTCATTTTACCTACTCTGAAGCTAGATTGAAAAGGCACATTAGAGTAAGGGTGCTCAGTAAAAACTAAAATACATCACCAGTAATAATATACCATCTCTCTTATTTTAGCATTTGTATTTTATTTGCCATAGGAAGGATATGGGAAAGTCCTCCAATTAGAAAAACACAAAGGTCCACTTCCAGTTAAAACTCAACACAGGTAAGTTCTTGTCTTAACATTAGAACACGTATAAACTTTGAGCTGAAACATGGCACGTACTGGCATAAAGTATAAAATTTGTTCAGTATTTCAACATTAATCACTAAAATTAGGTTTCTCAGTAGGTAGTTTTTGTTTAGAAGGAAGCAAATATTGAGGTTGTTTTTATGTTATCTCATTCCAAATTTACATATTAAATAATATTTAATTACTATATTTGGATTTAATGTTCTCAGTATTTTATGTGTATACCAGCACATTTATTCAGCATTTGCATACTTTATTTTTGTGTTTTCGGTATTTGTCAGTGTGTGTTTCCTTCTACCTGCTCAAATATTTTTTGTACAAAAGACTCATCTTCTGACACACCTTGTTCTGTTGTAGATAGCGCCTTGGTTTTTTTTCATTTGGGCTTTATATACTTCAGTTAACTTTATGCCGTTTACATCGTGAAAGTAGATTACACAGGCATAATTGTAGTCTTTAAGGAAACTGGTAGCTTTAAATGAATTTCAAAGTAACATTTACCTTTTAAAGCAAAACATTTGCTTCCATCAGTGTCTTTTCTAAAGTAGATTAAGGAAATGAAGTAATATTTCTCAGAATTGGTATATGTAGAAATACCACTATGAAAATTAGTCTTCACATCATGAACTGCTACTATATGTAGGATCTTTTGTGATATAACTAATTGCATGCTTAATTAAAAAGAGAATATATGTGATATTTTAGCAGAGACCTGATTGGCAGCAGATGGCTGATTAAGGAGGAACTAGAAGAAATGTTGGTGGAGAATCTGTCAGATCAAGATGTGAGTAATTAATCTTTTTAATTTCGGGGACCTGTGCTGTGAGACTGCAAACAATTGCTGTATCAAGGGTCTTAGTAGTGCTCCTCAGAGCCAGGTGTTCCCAAGACGGCCTTTTTTCAGCACGTGCCTTGTTGATTTCGGCTGTGGGAGGAGGGCTTTATCTGTGGTCAGGAAAGTGACACTCTAGCCTCCAGACCTCCTTCCTTTTGTAAGTGCCCTCATGTCCCTTGCCAGCTGCTTTAGGGACTGTAACAGATGTCTTGTTTGTTGTTGTTGTTCTCTTGGGTAAGGCCAGTAGTTAGTTTTATAACCTAATGATGAGTGCAAGGAACCATTTACAGGTGAAGTAGAAGAGGATGCGGCATGTAGTTACCTTTATGCAGTTTGTAGCTTCTCATCTTACCTCATTTTCATTCATGTGCCTTGTTTATAAGCGCAGTGGTTTTCATCTTAGGATCTGCATCCCACCTGCATCACAGTCACTTAGAATACCAGTTACAAGCTGCATAAGCTACATGGTCAGCCTCGCCCCAGATCTAACATGGAGTCCCTGGGGTGTCACCCAGGCATCTACTTTGTGAGCAAGCTCCTTAGATGAATCGTACGCCCTAAGACATTCAAGACCCCTCCCCCACACAGTTTAGGTTGTAATTACATTTACTGTGTTGAATGTTCTAATATAGCCCAGCATTATCAGAGGCAGTTTGATGTTTAAATATTTAGATGTTCTAAGTTTAGATACACATTTATAGGTTTTCATGAAGTTCCTAAGTCCTTCATGAAAGCTGCTTTTTTCTTCTTCTGTGGCAGTGGCCGATACTGTTAGTGCCACCATAGATTTACATTGTTAATTGCCTTTTCTCATTTAATATTGGAGAAATCAGTGCTTTAGGAGAGTTGTGATTCGCTTAAATGAAGTGTCAGGCATTTGGTTCATAGCAGATCTTGAGGTGATTTCTAGTATCTTAACTGCCGAGTATTGCTGTGCTTGAGTCTACATGGGAAGATCTCTTTGCTTTTTCATTGGATGAATCACACCCCCCACCCCCACTCCATCCTCTAGCCATTGAATTTTGTAAAATTCAGGGAATTGTTTGATTTTCATATTGGAGATGCTCTTTAACACAGGCATGCAGCTGTGAAAACAAAGCAATCCTATTTGGTAATGCTCTGTGCTTTCAGGTACCTGGTACTAAAAGAAGTCCTGGAATTTGTGCCTAATCACTAGTGAAGCTGAGGGTGGTGGGAGTGGTCTGTTACTTCTTAAATCACAGCCTAGGTCATTGACAGTGTGAGATGGAATCGGGAGAATAACTGAGACCAAGGGCCTGTTGACTAGAGGAGGAAGAGGAAGAAAAGACCCAGCATCCCTGGGACCATATTTGTCTGTCCCACCCTGGCCTAGACCGCTGCCCTTCCCTTTTACTCCTGTATCACAGGAGGCTGTTTTTGAAACAGCTCTTTAATAGTAATCAAATTGACAAGATTTCCTAAATATTGCACATTATCATTGGCAAATTTTCACTATCAAGGCAAGTGGTAACAAAGTTGGGTTTGACTTTTAGGTTTGGCAAGGAACAAATAAGTCATCAAAAACTGGGTGCACAATCCATATTAACTAAGGATCTTAAGTATTAGTTGTTTCCTTCTCCATAAACACTTTAGAATGATTATTCTGGCTTCTAATTTTAAGGGGTTAATACCAAGTTGTTTACTTTCTAATCACATGTTCAAGAACTATTAAAAAAATGCACAGAGTAGCAAGGATAATTTATTTCAAGAGGTTGCCCTTTAAGTCAAGTATCTCTTGAATTTTTAAATAGCTTGATTGTTCGGTTTTAAAGGAAATCATAAACATTAAAGTAACACAGCTTGAACAGCCAAAAATATATTTGCCAAATGCATTATGAAATATAATTTTAAGGGGAACATTTTCTCAAAATGAGACTCTTTACTATACATAACTAACTGGAAATTATTTCTAATGCTCCTTTTGATACAGTTCCATTAACAGTAGAAGTTACACTTGAAGATCATCTAAATTATTTTTTGGAAATGAATTTAAATCCCTTTTCATAATCACAATATAGAGAAATTGATTTTTTTCTTGAATGATAAATCTCTTTGTTTTGGGAAAGATGAAGCACTAAAGATACAGAGAAAGTGATGCATCTGCATGCTGTTCTGACAGCAGCACCAAGATGCAAAAGTGTCATCCTGTCAAAAGTCATCAAGAAAAGCAACATTGGAAAGATCAACTATATAAAAATAGAAAAACTTTAGCAAATGCAATTACACTTGCATCTTCTAATGAATTTTTATTGTCTGCAGTATATGCAGTTCATTCGACTGCTCGAAAAGTTATCAACATTGCAGTGTGGTCCCGCTGAAGAAGAATTTGTGCAGAGGTTCCGCAGAGGTGTAGCTATTCAATCAAAAAAGCAGCTGATTGAACCTGTGCAGTATGACGAGCGAGGAATGGCCTTCAGCACAAGTGAAGGTAATAGCATTCCACGGAGAGAAAATAAGTCCCGTCAAGCTCAGAGGCTGTAATTATTTTCGTTTGCTACTGCTCTTCAGTGTCCATTTGTTTTGTTGGTTTTTGCTGCTGCTACATTGAGTTCCCTAATTTTGAGATTTCTATTGGAGTTTTTAAAAACTGAATTTACAGTGTCCCAAGAAAAAATGTGGATCCACAACTGTATAATCATATTAATACTTCATTTCACATTTTCAACTGATAGAATCAACAAAATGTTTATAATAAGGGTTTATTCTCAAAAAACGAAAAAAGTTCAGCGACTCTGCATTTCAGATGCAAAATCTGTATGCATGAAAACTCAAGGCCCTCAGCTCCCATTTTCTTAGATTATGAGTAAAGATACTGAACATGGTTCCTCTATTAGAAATTAACCTACTAAATATACTTGCAGCTCAACACTTTAGCCTGATTCCTTTGTCATTTTTAGCTACTGTTTCCAAAGGGATGTTGCCTTTCCTAAGGTCTTCATTTCTACCAATTGTGTTTCATTATACTGTGCACATATTTTTAATTTTTATGCTGATAAATTCTTACTGATAATCAAAAAACAATGTGAAGGCTAGGCATTAAGGCAGTGGCAGGCAGAGCTCTGTGAGATCCAGGCCAGCCTGATCTACATATGGAGTTCTAGGACAGCTGTGGCTGCGTTGAGACCATGTCAAACAACCAAGAAACCCAAAACCAATGTGATTTTTTTTGGTTGCTGTTTTGTAGCAAGGCAAATGTATATGAATGACTTTTGGTTGTTAAAACTAATTTGAAAATCATTTCATTGTTTCTAAAATGGGATTGAAGAACATAATCACCTCACAGTCTGCTCTATTAACCCAGTTGTGTTATTTACCTGTTTTACTTTTATTTGACTTTTATTTTAGAACTTTGCTAGGTCCTCTGTTATATATTATTATTATGGGAAAACGAATCTTATTATAGCACAACCTGTCTCAAAGCATCAATCTTTAAAGTTTTTACTAATACAAGTTTTATGTTTTTAAAGGCAGAAGAAAGAGCGCAACAGCAAAAGCAGTTGTTTATGAACATGGGAGTGGAGAAATAAGTGTGAATGGCATGGGTTACCTCCATTACTTCCCCGTCTTACAGGACAGGTGTGGTTTTGATTTTTATTTTGAAAGAAAGTGTGCTTTATAATTCCTTGTGACCGATTAAGAAGATGTGCACTTTCCTCCTGCTCCTCCTATTAGTTGAAGGATTATTCATCTTCATTGATGAACTGAGTGGGAGCTATTGCTATTTGTCTATGTTGTTTTTCAGATTTCTAGGAAACCTCATGAACTGACTTCTTCTTTTCCTCAGATCCTACTGGAATTTGAACAGTTAGGTATATCTTATATTCCAAAGTGCTAAGTGTGCCAAAATGTAAGCAAAGCACATTTCCACCTCTGATTAGAGGACATGTGTTCACAGAACAGAGCAGCAACCCCAGAAACCAAGCTTGGCTTTCCTAGTTGACTGCAACCCTAAATATAAGCAGGGTTTCTATGGTTTGTGCTTGCTTTCCTAGTCATAAGTATTAGAAAAGGACTGCTTTATCTTTTTGCACTTTTCCTGTTTAGGGAGTTAATTGTACCTACTTTGAAGAAGCAAAGAAACCTGGCCTTTATAAGTCACAATAAAAGCTCATCAGTTTTGCTCAGTTCCTATGCTAAATGTGAATTATCCTGTGGAGAAACAGACATTCATCATGAATACACATTCCAATTCTTCTAGCCCCTAAATATTCTCATCTTAGAGCTCTGTGTGAATCCCCATACAAAGTCCTATTCTTGAGATGATTATTTTTCCCGTAGTTGCTGTTGTTATCCAGTAGTAACAGAGGTTAGTGTGATTATTTTCTCCCTCCTTAATCCTTCTGTCTCCTGGATGTGTTGTGGTATTTAAGGTCAAAAGGGCTGAAGTTCTTCTAATCCTAGCGCTCGTGTAAGGAAGCAGGGATTCTTCTAATATGGTATAAGCTTCTGCACAGCATAATTACCTCAGGAAATGTTTATTTGTCTGTGTGCCTGTGTCACGAAGTAGTTGTTCTTAACTCTGTTTAATATGAATTAAACTAATTCTGCCATCATCCCCACTGGGATGGAGGAAGCTTAGGAAAAGCCAGAGACCTGTGCCATGGGATGGTAAACTCAGTACTGGCACCAGCAAAGAGGAACAGCATTTCATGTCTGGGCTGTCTGTTGCTTTGTATTCAGACATAATTCCTGGTGATTTAGCAGCAAGTCTCAACCATGACAGTTTAGTTACATCCTTGAATCTTGTTCCTTAGTTTGAACTCAACATTTATGAAGGATCATCTGTGCTCTGTCTTGTTCTGGGCATTGAAAAGATTGTAGCCATTTAAGAGGATTCCTATTGTCCAGGGACCATCTGGTTAGGAAGCCAAATGCTGGGGAATGCTGAATGAGCACACAAACCCCTTCATTGACTTGAGTAGCTGTAGGACCGCCCTGCTAGCCATGAACTGTCTTTTCCTTCCAAAGAATCAGGTTCTTACAAATCAGCTTTTTTTTTTCAGAGCTGAGGACCGAACCCAGGGCCTTGCGCTCGTTAGACAAGCGCTCTACCACTGAGCTAAATTCCCAACCACAAATCAGCAGTGAAGTAACCACTGACCAGTAGGAAGATGACAGAACCAAGAATCAGGGATCTCAGTTCTAGTCTTGTTTCTTAGCTGTGCAGCTTAGCTAGAGTTCTTCAAGGTCAAATCTCTAATTCTGAAGATTGAGCTAAGCATGGTCTCTGAGTTGCTTCTTAAAGTCAGTTGAATTCTTTATCTTTCCAGGGTCTTGTGTTTGGGGGCTGCTGTTCTTACTCATATAGAAAACTGGTCATGGGCAGTGCTGGAGATGAGGCCTTCTCAGTGTCATCTTGTTCATGTCTCCTTATTTACAGCAGACATGTACTGCTGTGTTCCTGGTACTCTGGGATACCAGGATTGATAACCTTTCTGGAAAGCAACACTTATTGATAATCTCAAAAAAAATACATTCCTCACATATGCTAACCATGTAGTAGAGATAATATGGTTAATATTTTAAGCAACTACAGAAAAATAAGAGTGTCTGTGTTTGGTACCAGAAGAGCATTAAGAGAAGAGTGAGGAAACCATTTAATAATATATTTTTGCATTATGCCAATTGATAAAATCAGAACAAAATAAATATGGATCTTTTAATTCAGGATTTCACCTGAGATTCCTAAGGAGAGACGCTGAGAATATTTTTAGACCATTTTGTGAGTGCTTTAGCATTTGCTGGTTTATAGTCCAGTGTAGTTAAAACGGATAGCAGTGTGACCATCATTTCTAACCCTCTGGGGTGTTTTTGTTTGTTTTGCTGTTGTTTTATCTATTGGCTAATTTACCTTTATGCCACAGTACCCACCAACTTCAGCTCTCCAGACTCTTAGTTATGGCTCTTTCTTACCTTGACCATTCTGCCTCCGTTGCTCTAATGTAGCTCTAGAGATTTTATTATGAAATTTATTTTTTCTTAGTTTTGGTCTGGTGATTTATGGATATATATTAGGAATCTTAAAACTTTGGGAGTTGAGACAGATAAATGTTCGAGTTCCCAAACAAATAGTTGTTCTTTCTCCAATTTCTTTTACCTCACAAACTCACCTGTCACATGACAGACCTCCACTGCGTGTACGTGGAACAATCCCATGCTGCCATGCAGTGGCAGAATGAGGTTCTCAGTCTGTGGCTTTTAGTTACCATAATATGGCTGCCACTTTGCAACAGTATTATTTCAATTGTATGACCAGTTGGGTTGCTTGAAGCCTTTAAAGCAGGATGGATGGATGTCTCTTGTAGGAGCAAACTGTTCCTCTATATGCTATTACTGCAAATTCAGCTTGCTGTATCCTTGTGGATCTCTGATGGCTCATGTATTGTGAAAAGTTGCACTTGAATCTCCAACTGGATTCATGTCTCAGTTTAACTGTTAAAATGAGCTTTATTTGGGGACTAAAGAACTAGAGTGTGAGACAATAAAAATTCAGGAGCTATAGCTCAGGGGTAGAGTGCTTGCCCAGTGTACACAAGGCCAATAAATAAATTAAAACAAAACAAAAAATTCAGCAGAGGAATTAAGGCAAGATAGCAAAAATCCAAGTCTTTGACAGAGTAACAGTAAGCAATACCCCAGATACAAATAGTGTTCAAGAAATGCTTGTTTATCTGAGTGAGAGAAGGCCTAGGACTGAGCTATGTGTCTTGCCTGCTCTTTGTGCCTACCATGTCTGCTCCCTGCTCCTCGGGGGCTGGGGGGCCTGACTGTATGTGCAACTTAGAGAACTACACTGGGAAGATGTGAGTTTTGGTGGGAGGAAGTCTGTTAATTATGGTTTGGGTAACATTTTTTGAAAAGTAACCATTATCAAGATGAGCATTATACTATCAAGATGAGCATTATATATTATACAGAGACATTATAGCATATCATTAGAAATTCCAAATGGCCTGTGATTAGTGCTTGGGAAGGCCTGTTATGTCTGATCATTAAATTAGAGGCTAGATTCAATTGGTTAATAGAGTTCCTCAACTTTGATACTTTTTACAAGATTTTCACTACTTGCAAAGTTTCCATTAGATGAAGGAAATCAATAAACAGTAAGAGAGGATGTGTTGCTATATTCTGTCTATATCATGTATTTATGTACCCAAGAAATGCATGTGCAAACCTTGTACCTCTAAGCAAAGCAATCTAAATGTCAGAAAGATCTGTGTTTCTAGATCTTGGTGTCATGGGTTGATTGAGAAGTGTGAATTTTGGAACTTTGGCATCTCATGGATTTATAACTAGTCACAGGGTCAACAGTTTATGAAGCCACATGTCTCTGTAGGAGACCTAACCCCATGTATTTGTGTTGTGCCTTAGAGAACAGCTGATGTTCCCCTTTCACTTCCTTGACCGACTGGGAAAACACGATGTGACCTGCACAGTGTGTGGGGGTGGGAGATCTGCGCAGGCAGGAGCCATACGCTTGGCAGTGGCCAAAGCCTTATGCAGCTTCATCACTGAGGACGAGGTCGAGTGGATGAGACAAGGTATGCATGCAGGTGGGAGGGTCAGGTGTCCTGCTGCTGCCCATAAGTGCATGTTCATTGTTACACTGGTGACCCCAGTTAATGAGAGAGTACTTATATGTGGTACACAGGCTCACCAGTAGTGCGCCCATCCTCCAGACCCACAGCTGCGTTCCTTAGGTTTGATTTCTACAAAGTAAATTGAGATTAGAATGAGAGAAGGAAGGCACTCCCAGCAACGAGTAGTTGTTCCCTGTAGGCCCACAGCCAGGGGGTAATTATTTTGGCCTTAAGGCATAATTTTTTGTCTAGTTAAACCAACATAATAGATTAGTTGTATTTGAAACAGATTGGTTGTTTTATAAAAATTTGTAACAATTGTTTGGTTAATGATAAATCACTTTTTAACAGTATTAGGCTTTTCATTTTTAACATTGTGATACTACGATGATTTTTTTTTTTCTTTTTTACTCCACTCTGCAACCCTGTCACCTGGGCTTCACAGCAGGGTAAAGAATTCGCAGTTTATTCTTGCATTAGGATACTGCTTAAACAATACGTTGGGTGGTTCAAACTGAAGATGATTCTCCCCACCCCATTTATGAAAGGAAGAAAGCGCTATATGTGCTGCAGATACAGCAATCCCTGCAAATCAGCCTTCCAACTTCACTGCCCCTGAGGCCATGGAAGATGGTCCCCCTGCTCCCTGCCCTCACCAGGACTAGATAGAAGTGTTGCCTGTAGCGTAGGCTATGTTGTTTTTATTTTAATGCCTCTTAGAAATCTGTTTGCTTATGAACAGTTTGTCATTATATCAGTTTCACCATGTCATGAAACTAATTTGATAGGATTTGATTTAACCATTCTACCCTTTGGAGCTATGTGCATGTTTAAACTGGAACCTAGGTCTATCTATATTTAGCTCAAAATAACTTATTTTATTCACTACGTGTTCTTTAAGAACAAATTACAACAAAAGCCTACTGGAGGTTCTGTTTGCTATTCGGCCATTAAAGACCCCGGTAAAGCGTCTGAAGCCATGCGTCCAGCAAAAAGATTTCTGTTGCTGGAAAAGTTAACAGAGCAGGCAGAGATTGTGGTCCACTTAGCATTTCTAGAAGCACTGTAAGAGCATGTTCTTGGTGTCTGTGGTCTTGACAAATATTCCCAAGGCCCCAGTCATGACTATGATGCTTCTCTTTGAGGACCATATGCTGAGACTAAGTTGGTAATTTCCTGGAAGTGTGATCAGACAACTGGCAGCCTCCAGGTTAAAGTGACTTTATTCTCTGGAATAAACTGCTTAGACCTAGAAGATAACTCTAACTTATTTAGCTTCTGAAGTAAAATACCAAGGATATCATTTTTACAGAAACTGTAATAACTTCTTTTTTTCAAATACGGTCAGCAAATTATATTTGTTTATATGTGGACATTCAACCATACTGGTGGGCATGTGGCACACACCTTTAATCTCAGCATTTGGGGACAGGGGCAGGCAGATCTCTGTGAGATTGGGATCAGCCTGGTCTACATAGTGAGTTCCAGGCCAGCTAGGGGTACAGGGAGACTCCTAAAAAAAAAAAGAAAAAAGCAGAAAACCAAGGTGTGTCTTCTTTTGCTCTTGTCCCCTTTGAAACTCTTACCTCAAAGCTGGAAAGATGGCTCAGTGGTCAAAGCACTGGCTACTCTTTAAGAGGACCCAGGTTCTGTTCCAAGCACCCACATGGCACCTGATAGCCATTCCTAGCTTCGGTTCCAAGAGATCCGATGCCCTCTTCTAGCCTTTAGAGGTATTGCATGCAGAGGTGCACTTACATACATGCAGACAAAAATTCATACACATAAAATTAAATAAAACTCTTACCTCATCGGCACAGGGGTGCATGCCTATAACCAGCACCTGGGAGATGGAAGCAGGAGAATCTGAAGTTCAGTATCATCCTGGAACAGGTGCAGGATAAGTTCCATTGCAGTAAACAGTGGCTGCAGAAGAATAGCTTCGGCTTAAGTTGAACAAGTCTAAAAACCAGAGTCACAATTCTCCTAGGGTGAGGAAAGCATACTCACAGTGTTGCTGCTGTTTGTTTCTGAAGTAGGGAAAGTGTCCCAAAAGAGCAGAAACAAACTGCCCTTGTGACTTGCATTATTGCAAGTCTGCTTGCTTGCCTGTAGTTGTTTTATTTCTGACAGCAGGTGCTATACATTTCATGGAGTTCGCTCACTTGCCTGCTAGGCAGCCTGCATTTCCCATGGTTCACAGAGGCTGTTTCTTTCTACTGCAGCTGGACTACTTACTTCTGATCCACGTGTCAGAGAACGGAAGAAACCCGGTCAGGAGGGCGCCCGCAGGAAGTTCACCTGGAAGAAGCGCTGAGGCTTTTCACAGCAGAGGCAGGAACAGCTGTGTGCTCGCACACGGTAGAACCCAGTGACCGCTGACCATGGGGAGGCAGCACGTTTAGAAATTTAAATGCACTTTCTAAAGGCTACCATTAAAAATAGTGAACAAAAATAACATTGGTTCTCCTACTTAATTTCTTCAAAGTATAGAAACATAATTTACAAAACCTTGGCCTAATGGACTTGAAAAGTTCGGTTATAGTCAGTTGCCTCATTTTGCTGATGAGAATGTGGTTCAGATATGAAGAGCCTGCCAGAGCCAAGACCATTGCTAATGTAATGCCTGAGCCATCGTAGGGCTCATCGTGCCAGGCTCGTGTCTTCCCATACCATAGTTCCCACAGCTTGCTTTGGGGGTTGAGAGGTAAGCGTTCAGAAGCTGCTGCGTGTGTGCAGCAGGAGCACAGCACAGCTGGTGAGCGCTGAGCTCCCAAGGCGGGAGTGGCTGCTGAGGACAGCACCTGGGGAAGGTCACAGCGGAGCCTTTAGGCACCAGATTAGAAGGGACAAGAGGTTAGACCCATCTTGGATCAGTTTGAGATTTTGGTTTTATAAGTTTTTTACTCATACAGTTAAGGTGTACAATAGGATATTTTGATGCACATAATGAAATGTTTACTACAATCAAGCAAATTAACATATCATCTCAAATGGTTCCCTTTTTTGTGTGTGGATGAAAAGCAGATTTCTAATGTGTGTGCTATACATTAGATGTGTAGACCTAGTCATAGATTCTCCAGCTAAGTGAGATTGTGCAATTCTGCGTCTCTTTCAATTAGTGTAATGCCCTCAAAGTTCATCCATACTGTGTCAAATAGACAGGATCTTTTTTTTTGAGACTGAATAATATTGTATACACTGTTTTGGTTTATCTTGATTGTCAACTTGATGGAATTTAGAATCGCTTATAAATTTCTAGGCCTGTCTATGAGGGCCTTTCTAGAAGTTTGTCTGAAATGGGGAGACTCACCCTGAATGTGAACACAGGACCCTATGGGCCAGCATCCAGACTGAATAGACAGGAGAGAGCAGAAGGAGCATTGCATTTGCCTCGCTGTGCTTCCTGACTGTAGGTGCAATGTGACCAGCTGCTTCATGCCCCTGCTACAGACCTTCTCTGCTGTGGTAGACTGTGCCCTCATCATGGGCCAAAATAAACTCTTCTTTGATGTTTTGTCACAATAATGAGAAAAGCAATATGTACCATGTACTATGGTTTCTCTGTTGATTAATTTTGGGTTTCATTTGGAATCAGCACAGATGGGGAATAAAGAATCCTTAAGAATCTTCTCCCCCCCTGGAGGCTTCACCAGAGGTGTTTGAAAAAGGACTTGACTCCAGGAAACAGGAATAAGAACTTCTGGGTGATGGTACCTGGACTAGGAGGAAGACTGATGTAAATGACCTTAGGCAGGAATGCAGGATGAGTCCCTTATTGGCTGCCCCAGAGACAGCTGGGGATTGGCTGGACCCCAGGCCAGGTGTGGGGAAACCATATGAGATCTGGACCCATCACACAGGTATTTGACCAAGAGCTGTACTCTTTGGTCATAGCTAACAGTTAAGGAAAAGTATCTGGGTTTACTGTTCCAGAGGGTAAGAGTCCGTCATGACAGGGAGGCATGGCGGGAGGCAACCAGAGCCAGAGCAGAAAGCTGAGCACTCACGTCTGCAAACGGTGCTGGGAGCAGAGAGCAAGCTGCTATGACTTCTCAGAGCCCACCCAGGGACGTGCTTCCTCCAGCTTGGCCACAAAAGGTTCCATGGCCTTCCCCAACAGCACCACCAACTGACCAAGTGTTCACACGCTTGGAGCCTATGGGGGGACACTTATTCAAACCACCACAGCCCTTAAATGGGGAGGTGGGGAGCTCTACATTTTAATTTTCACACAATTTTGCAGTGGTTTTTGAAAGAAATATGGCATTTGGTGGCAGAGTGCTTTAGATAATTCGGTACAGTCGCTCACATCAATACGTTCATTGCACAAAATGCCTTTCATTACACTTGAGTGTGAATCCTGTACTTTGCTCCTGCTCACCCATCGCCTTCTTACCTGCCTCTGCCCCTCCTGTTTTCCCAAACTTTCCTGGTTTCTATTTCCATGTCTTTTTTTTTTTTTAATCCAGACCCCACATATGAGAGAAAACATATTTGTTTCTTCAAATCTATTTTACTTTGCTTAACATGAAATGTTCTCCCGTTCTATCCATTTTCTTGCAAATGACATAATTTCATTCTTTGTGGCTGAAAAAAAAAAAAGAAAACTATTAGAATACAGTTGCTTTAATTGGTAAAGAGATTCTTTTACAAGTTAGTGCCAAAGTCTCCATTTTCCTCACTATAGGTGGAGGGTTGTATGCTGCTGATTTCTTCATAAGTTTGCTTTTAAAAGTCTCGGGTAAGTTCTAGGTAACACCAAGTCCTTATACAGTAAGAAAACATGAAACAAGAGACCACAATGATGAAAGCATGTGACTGAGTATTCCTGTGACCACACCCAGTGCATCTTAATATAAGGATGCAGAAAGTGAGCTTTCTGTGATTCTTACCATACAGCAGTCACTCTGGTGACAATTGTGTTTGGCTTTGAACATCAGCCATGTCTATTCAGCCTCGATCTGAGAAGTGGCATCAGTCCTTTGTGTGGCATGAATCTGTGGAGATAGCATTGGTACTGGGTGGTTTTGCTAGTCTTTGTGACTGCTGACTGGGCTCTTGCCTTATCTGGCATGCTGGGAGCAGCATGGTGCTGACTGGGGTACTGACCATCTGATTTTCACATCAACCACAGTCAGAGAGGTGGCAAAGTCATGTGGAAGCTTGGTGTGCTGTTACGATGAAGTCAGGAGGAAGACCAAAGTTGGCCTCGGAAGATGATCACGACCTGAGGCAGGGGAGGACATCTGGAGGCAGTGAGCGGCAAAGAGGAAAAGGGAACCTCAGATGTAAGCAGCCTGGTAGGCCTGGGGGCTGCGGGGAGGGAAGAGCTGAGTGTGGAAGCTGGTTTGGAGCATGGAGGGGCCTGAAGTGCCATGGAGTGACCGCACTGCCAGGTGGGAACTGCCAAACTGGCCTGGAACTTGCTATGCGACCTGAGGTTTCCACCATAATTCTGACAAGATGGTCACCGTAGTTAATAGAATGAAAACATCTGAGCCTTGTTAAATCTTACCTTCATGGGGAACAGTTTGGGAACCCAGAGCCCCAGAGAAAAGGCTTTAAATTTTTCCTTCATGGAGCCGGGGAGTCATTGCTCCAGGAAAGGGAGGACCACCTACCTCGTCAGAGGAGGTTACCATCTATGAAACAAGCGAACCCCACTCAAGCACAGAAGGCAGAGAAGTTGGAGGGAGAAATGTTCCTCAGCTCAACTGCACAGATAACTGTAGGTGGTGCAGTTCTCAAGATCATGCAGTTCACGGGGTAGAACCTCTGAAAAGCAGGGAAAGGGGAGGAGTAAGATACCAAGGAGACCAGGGTTTGCATGGCTGATGCACAAGTCCCTAACAGTTTTGGCCCACAGTTGGAGGCAAGAGACTGGGACCTAGAAGGGTCTAGAGGCTAGAAGACTAGTGAGGCATGCACAAGGAAAAACAGCAGAGAAAGGAAGAGATAGGCCTAGCTGACATGCCCATTGAGAAGAGGTCCTGGTAGTCACAGTAACCTATAAAGTAGATACTGAGAAAGTCATCGCTGAAGCTGTCAAGCAGCTTGCCCTAATCCTTATAGCCAGTGAGTGCCCAGGCCAAGCTTAGACCTGGAGTCTTGGCACCAGTGTCAGTGCTATGAGCCACTAAAATGCCAGGCAGGTTGACCCCTAACCTCAGCGACTCATCTGTGAGGTGGGGGGCAAAGCAGCCCATCTCCCGTTACTGGAAGTTTTCACTGCAGTCCACATGAACCACTTAGACCATTGGAAGTGCTCTGTAATTGTTTGTATGATTCTCTTGAACCTCTTGACATTCAGTTCAATAAAAGTGCAGCAGCCTCAGAATTTGAAATAATGGAGATGGTGTGAGCTAGTAGTTTCTGGAAAAAAATGATGCTCATTCAATACATTGATCTCCTTTGACACAAAGTTCCTGGGCTACTCAGTGACACAGACATGAATGATAGAAATGTTGAGGTAATTTGATGTTTTAGATCAGGTGTGTACATACCTATTGAAATAAGTAGGCCAGCTCAGGCTCAAGAAACCTACAAATCTACACACATGGACTGCGTTCAGCTTTTTAGCCACCAGAACCATATTTAGATAGTTCCCCAGAAGGAACTTACAGCTATTTATAAGAGATTATGTTGTTTTATAAATATCAGTGTTTAGTGGAAAGGCTGTAACATCCCCTCCCAAAGAGGCAATAAGTTAATACTTCTGATTATTGGTATTGCTAAAAATACCAATACTTTTTACTTTGGTAAAAACTGTCAGCTATCAATTTATTTTCTTCTAAGACTTTGGTTGAAAGACTTGTTTAACAATTAAACTCATTACCAAAAGCTGTTAAGTAATCTTTAAACTAAACTGTAAAAACCACTAAACTCCACTACGCCTGCCACCAGTCAGCTGTCTCCAGGCTTCTTTTTTCTACCATGGTGGAGATCGTTGGTAGACAAGAAGCTCTTCAAATGCTGCTCTCTGGCTGTTAATTCCCTCAGTGTTGATAGCAACAGGCAACAGCCAATGGCAGCCCTCTACTGCTACAGTCCATGTATTTATTGGCCTTGATTTCAGGACCTGTAATGGTTAATCTTCCGTTTCAACTTGACTGTATTCAGAGTCACCTAGACGACACAGCTCTGTGTGTCTGTGGGGACGTGTCTAGAGAGGTTTAGCAGAAGAGGGAATACCTACCATCTCTTCTAGTGACCAAAGCCCCAGGTTCTCCTCTCTAGCTGTTTACAGCCCTTATCAGCTCTCAGCTCTCATCTTCTCTGCTTCCGCATTCCTTCTTTCCCTTCCCAGAAGGCCATCCAGGCACTGTGCACAGGGCACTTCCAGGGTCCCTCGGGAGCAGGCATCTCCCTGGGGGCTGATGGGTTCTCCATCTGGGCAGAGGATTCTGGCCTGTGGTCACTGTTGGTGGACAGGCCCAAAGCTTCTGCCTCCATTGCTTCTTTGGCATTAAAGCTTTTGGCAGCACTCTGTATTGTAAAGCAGGAGGGGTTCAGGAACTGGGTGCTGGTCTAAGCATAGCTTGGGAGCCCAGCGCCCAGTATCAAAAATGGTGCCAGCCACTATAGGGCACAGGGGTACCAGTGGGTTGATCAATGTCAGGTCCCCAATATCAGATCCCCCCAAGTCACCTGTGGGATCTTCAGCTGTCAAGCCACAAAGTGGTATGCATAGAACCCAGGAAGAAATCAGGTTGGATGCACCTGCTGGATCCAGCCACCACCAGAGGGCTGCTGCTGCCACCAGGCTGGCACTTGTTCGGCTAATAAGCCCACTCTCACCCCAATTCCACTATTCTCTGGTGTCTCTACTGCTTTGTTTCCCACTCAGCCTGCACTACTGACAGTAGACCAGGAGAGGCCACTCAAGAGAAGTTGTTATTGTACTTGATCTTGCAGCATTAGGAGCAGTCACGGGTGTCTCCAATCCGTTCACTGAGTGAGTCTAAGCAACCTGCTTAGGTAGCAGAAGACTTCACGCACAGCCATTTCTTTGACCAGTCATGGCCTTGGTACCTCTAGTACCAATCATAGACAGATCAAGCTTGTGATCTGGACCAGTCATGGCCTTGCCACCAATCAGGGCAGTCCTCCATCAAGGTTCATCCCCGCTTATGATTTCAAAATGTCTGGTAAAAACAGCCCTGCTTGGAGATATGTGTCAATGAGCCAGGTGATCAAGTGCAACCTTTTGAGCGGTTGCCTCTAGGCAAATGTAGAGTGTTCAAGACAACTTTCACTTGGCATAGGGGTAGTGCAGTTCTGGAGGTCATGCAGCAGAGCAATATGTTTTGAGTCTCCCACTAACCTTGCTGCATATGACATCTCTGTGGTTATGACAACGGTTACCTAGATTTCAGGGACTTGGAATCAGTTTTTTTGAAACCACCACCTTTAGCTGGGCCTGTGCAGGTTTCCAATCAGTGACTTTGCTGCAGGAAGCCAAAAACTCTTCCCTCAGATCATGCTAAAGCCACAAATTTTCTGAGCACACATTCCATGAAGAACCATGAAGATTGATTTCACATGTGTAAACCACTGGGCATTCCACCTCCCTCTCTCTCCCATGCTTTAAATCACTTGACTTCTTTTGTTTCTCATAAATATCCCAAACTATATCCTCAATTGAGGATACATCAGAGACTTGGTCTTCCATCTCCACATTGACCTTCTCTTTTCAAAAATTTGTCATCCCACGTGTGATTGGCATCCCGCATATCTGGCTTGGTAACAGAATGAACATAATCACGTTAAGAAACGGGTCTCTGCTTCTACAAAAAAGTTCTTGGAAGGAGCTTGTCTGACTAATGGTTGAGAAATGATTGATTAACATCAAGTAACAAAAAGACAAGAACAGAAGTTATAGTCTGACCTCTCTGTTCTGTACTAAGTCTGAAGGTTGAGGCCTTGCCTAGAAATGTAGGCTTTATTTTCAGTATGAAGAGAAGGGAAAGCATGGGGTTCAGGATTAAAGTAGTAAATGGTAGTAGATTAAGGTAGTAAATGGGGGGCTGTTTGTGGGCTAGCATTTATCAAAGTTAGGATTGTGCCCTCCTGTGGACTTGTGAACACAGATCTTACTCTTGATGGCTCCTGAGAGAACACTGACCATCACCAGCTCTCCTTTTAAACAATGTTTTATTTATTGCTTTTATATGTTTTTGCCTGCATGTATGTAGATGCCCCATGTGCATGCAGTGCCCACGGAAACCAGAAAAGGGTGTCAGATCACCTGAGACTGGAGTTACAGGTAGTTGTTAGCCACCATGTGTGTACTTAAAACCAAACTGGGGTCTTTTGTGATAGTAGCCAGTGTTTTTAACTGCTCAGCCCTCTCTCCAGCCCCTTGTTGGCATTTATTAATGCCCACCAGAAGGTGGTATGCTAGCCCGGAGGGACTGGGCCTCAATGTGTTATCCCTGAAATCACTGCTCCTAAACTTTGGTGAAAGGTTCACTTTTAGATCATCTGTAAAAACTGCAGGAAAATACCAAATTTGTTCCTTTTTTCATTTTCGCAGGTTTTGGTTGCCCTCTGAAAAATGATTGAAACCCCTTCAGGGGACCAGACTTCATCGTGTGAGGTCTTTCTGTGAGATAAATGAAAGATGCTCCCGGAACCCTCCCCAGCTGTACCCAGCCTCACTTTAACCTTCTCTACCAAGAATGTTGTTCTTACTCGCTGGAGCAAACTGCTCCCCACTCCCTTCCCAGGGAGCCCCACTATTCAAATGAATTTCTCTTATGTGATCTCAGGATATTACTTGTTTGAAATGAGGTGAGGAGATGGTAGTTTTCATGGTGGTGTTCAGTAGATAGCAGGGTACCAAATATTGCACTGCAGTCCATGGTCACAAGAGTTGCTTAGGACTCTGGTTACAGGTCAGCACAAAAAACCCAACTTGAACTGTCTATGCTGAGAATTCTTTGGGAAGCCCTGAGTCTCTGTTCCTGAGAGACAAACTGACCAGCCTCCTGCTGGAAGGGCACCAGAGTGTGGGGCTAGAGTGCTCAGCTCTGTCCTCTCCACTTCTTTGCCCTCTACAGACTTGCTGCTTTGGCTCCTGAACTCAGCTTTCCACACTTCCGTCCTGGGGCTGAGTCCATCCAAAAGATGCAGGGAATTGCTCATCCTCTCATCCTCTCCTCATAGGCTGACCTGGTCTCCCTCCCCAACTTGATTTGATCGATCAATCAAATGAATCTGCCCTCTCTACCTCCACTGCTGGCACTCTGGTCCCCAGCCCACACCTTGATTTTAGTCAGTTGAGAACAAGCCCAGACCTACAGCACAGGAAGGTAGTACACATGTATCCTGTTCAGCAAACAGCTTGGGGCAGTCTACTGAAGTCATTTAAGGCTCTGGTTTTTCTTGATGAGAG